TATATATATATAACAAATTTGCATTATATAAGTTATATATATATATATATATATATATCTATATATATATATATATATATATAGCACCGTTATATGGCGGATAGTGATAAAACGGTCCGTTCAGAACGAGCAAATTAAATACACCAATCAATCATAAGTGGTGTGTAGGAGCGTGTATGTTAAGTCAATCAATCAATTAATCAATCAGTCCCAATCAATCAATCAATTAGTCAATCAGTCAATCAATCAATTAGTCAATCAATCAATTAGTCAATCAATTACGTGCTTTGTGTGTGTGTATACAAACATACATGTCTGTCTGTTTGTGTGTATATATGTATGTAAGTATATATGTATGTGTGTGTGTGTGTATGTATGTATGTGTATGTGTGTGTGTGTGTTCATGCACGCCTCGATGCATATACACAAACACTTGTAAGGATTGGCAAAATCTCTCCATCATATGAACAATGCCTATAGCAAGTACATTTCGCTTAGAGGGCATTTGAACCTGGGCCGTAAGCAACAACTGCTATACAAAATCACAACACCACTACAGTCGGGGCTGAGAAAAATACCATGATGGCTTATGTTTTAACTTGAAGAATTTGAAAAAAAACTCAAAAACAATTTAGTATTCATATGAATGTTGTTTCATCATTACTATTATTAACATGTTTTTATTACAAACATGCTTTACTTGTACAACAATTTTTGTATCGGTTATGATTATTCAGTCCTATATATATATATGGTACACACACACACACACACACACAACACACACATACACACACACACAACACACACATACACACACACACACGCAGGCATATGTGTGTGTGTTTGTGTGTGTGTTTGTTTGTCTGTGTGTGTGCGCGCGTGCGTGTGCTTAATATGAGAACAGTTGTTATGAATGTATGCATTTTCCGCTTTTTGCATCATGACTCCATTCCAGAATACCTCAAAATTGCGAAAATGCAGACGTATGAGTATACCCATTATCGTTGTCAATTATTTTTTTGTTCATTCATTCATGCATTCATTCATTTATTCATTCAATCGTTCGTTTGTTCGTTCGTTCCCTTGTTCGTTTGTTCATTCGTTCATTCGTTCACAGTTTTTTCTCATATAAAAAGCAATGTACTTTTTCTTTCATTTATTGTTTGTGTTGAAGAAACTTGAAACCAATGATTATTAATAATAATATTAACAATATTAATGATATTATTATTATTGTTGTTGTTATTATTATTATTATTATCATTATTTATAACTGTTACAGTACCCTATCCAAGTTCCCCATTGAACGCAATATAAAAGGTTTTCAATTAGTTAAGTATTATTTAATTTACTGTTTTATCTGGTTTTTTTCCTAAATCCATCTATTTATTCATTTGTTCGTTCGTTCGTTCGTTCGTTCGTTCGTTCATTCGTTCGTTCGTTCGTTCATCCTTAGCATCATCTCTCCGAAAAATGTGTACGTGTATATGTATGTCTGTATTTATAGACACACCATACACGCAATCACACACACACACACACACACATACACACACATTTATTTTTCACTCATTAAATATTAAAATACACTATCTTAGCTGAAATACTTAAAGTTATTGTGTAAATATTAGTAGCAGCAGTAGTAATAGTAATAATAATAATTATTATTATCATAATAAAAATAATAATAATATTATTATTGTTATTTATCTTGTTTCATCTTTATTTTTTTCCTGATAAAAAATGATTCTTATTCATTTGCAACAAGCTAAGATCTCTGTTTTGTGGCTATTATTGTTATTGTTATTCTTATTATTAATTTATTATTCTTATTATTATATTTATTATGATAATTATTAATAATTATACAATTTTTAAAATGATTTTTACGAAATTAATGCAAATACGCTTCACGTGAATGTATGTATATGTATAAAATCTTATTTAAAAGTTGAAATTTTGTACAAAATAAAAAAAACTTTTCATTTCCTTGTTTTAAAAAATGTGTGCGTGTGCGTGCGCGTGTGTGAGTGTGTATGTGTGCTTTTATATTTGTGTGTGTGT